CGGGGGGAGGGGGATGGTGGCGGGGAGGCCGAAGGAGACCCTTGGGGACTCGCACTGAGAGCTGCCTCTCCTCTTCCCTGACCAGAATGCCCCCTGACCATGGGTGCCCAGCTGGAGTTCTGCACCGAGGTGATCAAGGCCCTGAAGAATGGCGGTGCCCATCTGGACTTCCGAACCCGCGAGGGGATGACGGCTCTGCACAAGGCCGTCCGATGCCGGAACCACACAGCCCTGCGGGTGAGTCTCCCTCCAGCCCGGGGTCCATTTCTCCCCAGAGTTGGGGGGCACAGGGGAGCCTCTCTCAGCCTGGCCGGCCGGACCTAGTTCTTCAACGTCCCCAGCAGACCCTCCTTGCACCAGACTGGGATTGCGGGAGCTGTGGGCATGGCAGAGGAAAGCTGGGCAATGCCACAGCGGCAAAACATGCGAAGGAGTCCGGTAGCCCCTTTGCCAACTCACCAGCTGTATTCCAAGGACGTCTCACCACATTCAACTTGGACTCCGGTGGAATCTTTGCCGATTCCCAAATGTTACTCAAAGGCGTTGGCTGCAGCTTCCCAAAAACTTCTGCCTCGGAATAAAATTTGTGAGTTGGCAAAGGTGCCACCCGAGTCCTTTGGATGCTTGGCTCGCCATTGCTGGCCACTGAGACGCGTATTCGTGTGAGAAAGAAAATGGATTGCTGGCTGCATGTTTAGGAAAGGGTATGATCAAGTGAATAGGCCCGGATGATGGAACGCTTTCGAGAGCGGGAGGGTGGCGGCTGAGCGCGATAAGCGTGGTCGGTGATGGGTGTAAAGCGGGCGGGATAATAAATGGAAGCCGAGTGAATGGAGCAACGTGGAGCAGGCAGCGTGATTATCCCCGTGGTTTTATAATGTATTTATGGACAAATCTATAAGGAATGCAAGTGGTGACATTAGAGGCTGGGGACGGGAATGTGTTTATCCAGAGAGAGGGAGGGAGGGAGGGAGGGGAGTTGTAGGCTGATAACTTGAGTGATTTACAGCAAATGCCATAGGTTTCAAGGGAGTGTAGAGGTCATCTAGTCAGGGCGGATCCACTAGGGCAGGGTTCCTCCACCTTGGCGACTTTAAGACGGGCGGACTTCAACTCCCCAAGGCTGGCTGGGGAACTCTGGGAGTTGAAGTCCG